TATGATGAACGTCACGATGATCCAAAGATCTACGATTGCCTATAGTTCAGAATTAGTGTTCGAATAATTTAAATAATAATGATTTTCAAACAGTCACTGCGTTGTATTGTAGAAACACATCGGTGAAATCCACGCTAACCGTACTGATGCGATTCGCCTGTTGACCGATGTCGATACAACTAGTCAACTTGTATCATACAAGCCACGTGTAATAAATTAATAATGCTAACAAAATGCAATTATAATAATATTAGAATGTTTTCGGCTTCAGTGTCGGATTACTTGTGTTTGCGTCTAATAATAATTGATCGTCTGTTTAGTGAAACTTAAAATAAAACATGTATAACATATAATAATATACATATAACATAATAATAAAATAGTAACCGAAACTCGTAAGCAGTTTTGGAAATTTCAACGGCGTACCCACACTACCCACCTATTGTTTTTAATCGAAATCGAAATTCGTACGGTCGCGCGCATTTAAATTTTTTATCAGCTCAATGTCTGGCGTGTTGATGCCACACCAGTATAATAGCAAGCCATTAATTACGGCCGTAAACATGTAATTAGGTAACTATTATTATGATACACCGTGACGATAGTACGCCTATAATTATTACAGATATAGATACCTACTATGGCGTTTGGACTTACCCTTGACGATGCACACCAACACGATCAGCGCGAAATTCTTGGAGGACATGATGGCTGCGGTGTAATAATGTATATCGGTACGACAATTATAAGACAACGCAATAACACCTAGTAATAATAATTCAAAGTTTATAATACGCGGTCGCACGGAGCGCAGTATACAGTGCAGGTGAGCAGCAAACGCCTAGTCGCTTATAAATTGCTTATTTTTGATAGCAGCGACAAAAGCGTTTCCGGCGATTGGGCTGTAATCGCGGTTCTAATTTATTACCGGCCATTTCCCGTGCATACCACTGCAATCGGGGTCGGGGCGATCGAATGCAAATCCGTCTGGATCTTATCTGTTTCAGCAATTATTGTGTAAAACCTCGTTAATGGAGTCCAGTCGGTCAATCCCCTYCTCCATCTACCCTCCCCGAACACTAAGCAAATTCCCCATCAGCGCCGATCCGGCGAACATTGGCCGCTTTATAAATACCAAACTCCCGGCCAACCGAACATCAGTCGTGTACAGTCTGCAATCCAGAATAAAAACAAGAAACATTAGAAAATCGTCATCACAGTGAATCATATTCCGTGAAGTACCTACTGTTTATTTATTTTAGTGTCYCATCAAGACATAAGACATGAATTTGAAAATTTCTGTCATTTTGTTCGCAGTGGCGACGCTTCTCCAGCTATCTCACGGTACGCACCAACATTTTTAATCGCAGTGTTAACCCGGTATTGAATGTGTGATTTGGWTTTAAAGTTTTGAACTTAACATTATACATTTGATTCATTTTGAATGATTACATTATGTATAATAACATATGATAACTGTTAAGATAGTTTTATTTTTTTAGTTTCATTCATCGAGGTGATATTTTTATTTATCTTCCATATTTATTTTACTTGTCTTACGACTTCCGAGCTATGCCTTTTTGCAAGTACCTATCATACAATAATTTAAACACAATTTTTTATTTCAATATGTACTCAAAACAAAAACATGATTTGATATGTTTAATAAACAAAGAAAGTCATTAATCAAYTTTAAAATTTAAAGTGGAGTAAAAGAATATTAATCAATTTTTTTTTCTCCAATTTTTCCCCTTTTCTCCCGTTTTATTTTAGTTCATAAAGTTATTAGAYAAAATTCAAAAAATATTTTATTATCTAAATATGCTTAAGAACAMCAAAACAAATTAATGTTAAATTGAAAAATTCTATAATTCCCTTATCTCATTAATTTTATAATTATTATTAGGTATACCAACGCATCGTTATGCTAGACAGGCAACAGATTGGTCAGCTAAAATCAAAGAATACTTCAGTAAGATTCAGGGTTACGGATCATCTGAATCACAGACATCACCGTCATCAAATCAGCCAGAATCATCAACATATCAACC